ACTTTTCGAATCGTGGCATATACGTATAAACTTTCACCACTTTGGTAATAATTTTTAACAATCAGGATGCGCTGTTCTATTGTGTAATGATTCATTTTCATCAACTCCCGCCTGTCAGAAACTAATTTTCTTACTCCTAATTCTTCATGTAATTTTTTTTGATTTGAGGTCTTTGAGATTTTCAAGGAAGCCTCAATCTCGTGATATGTCACATGTCTATCTGCAATGATGAGTTTGCGCACAGCATCGACGTTTTCCTGGGTGACTGCCGTTTTTGGTGCACCCACCCTGGGATCGTCGCTAAGTCTCACCCGTCCAAGTTTGAATTCTCCATACCAATGGGAAATTGTCGACTAATGTGGCGCTTCGTTGCCGAAAACAGACTGTAACTCAGCAAGGCATCCTTGTTGCGATAATTGTCTCTGAAAGTTGTAATATATTATGCCGCGAAAATGTTCTCGGTTGAGTTCCATTTTGCTAATGATTTGGTGATACTTAAAAATTCACTGTAGTGAGAACACTGCACGTATTGCTGTGAAACTTTGAATTTAAGTTTACTAAAGAGTGAGGTTAAGATTCAGTACTGACGTTCGATCCGCGCGGCCTACTACATAGTTTATTGTCCCTGTCTGGATGAAATCACAAAATACAGACTGCAAAAAATTCAAAACTCATGTAGTCGTTACATAAACAATTTAAGAAGGTACGATCATGTTTCTCACTCAATATCTTCAATGAATTGGTTGAAAATTTCTGATCTTTTCAAATACAACTTTGTTACATTTGTCGTAAAAATATTAAAAACATCTGTTCCGGTTTATCTTATGCAAAAGCTTGTTCGTAGGAATTTAATTCACAATTTGAATACGCGCAACATTAATCTCCTGACAATGCCACAACATAGGACAGCCATTTTTCAACGGCCTTTTACGTATAATGCGGTGAAATTGATCAACTCTTTCGAACAACGTTTCATCAGCAACTTTTCTGAAAAAAAAAATATAAGAACTACTTATTGAGATCTTAGGTTATTGTCTTCTCTTTGAATCGTACGGATTATGTTTTTTGTTCTAATCGTACGCATTATGTCATATTTATTAATTCTTCTTTTACTATTATTCCTCTTTTTCCTTTTCTTTTTCAGTTTTTTATTTTATTTTTAAGGTAGTAATAAGAACTGACATGACATTTATGGTTAAGTATAAATGGCCATTGGCCAGACTTCGCCATTTGTAAGGATGTAATTCTGTATGTGTTACAATAAAGTCCAGTGAATTGAATAATTGAATACTGTTTCTATATGCAAAACTTAAAAGACATCCCTCGTATCGAGCTGTCATGTCACAATCATTATGTCATTACGACTACCAAAATGACGCGTAATTAAAATATTGCGTTTTTATTGATACACCCTTTAGTTTCCAACAAAAATATTTTATGGGTTATCCATAATGAACGTGTCGGAAGTACTGAGTTAACTTGCCTGACATAATTTTTTACACTCTCGAAGATATTTAAAATAATACAGTTAACATGCAGGGAAGTTCGCCTGAAACTCGACGTAAATCCATTTAGTCCTCGTTTGTTTCGTTCCCTCTCCCTTGAAATGAATTATTCGTCGCTTTGTTTAGCTTTAAGCATTCCCGCTGCGAATGTGCCGAGCATTCTGAAACGTTATCGAACGTGTACTCGCCTGGAACTTTTTAATAGAAATTCTAAATATCGGGGTTCGTCACTTTGTGAATGGAAACGAGGTTCTTTTATTTTTTGGTCCAAGCAACTGAAATAAATATTCCGAATCCGATGAAGTACAATGTAAAATATGTTTCCGTTTCTGCTTTCATGAAACTATGCATGTTTGTTGTACGAATCGACCTCATATGCAAATCTCTTCCGGTTGTATGATAAGCTGTAGGGGAAATTCGATTCATGCAAATAAATCTGTGCAATGCGTTCGGCATGAACGCTAGTGTAAGTTCATCGCAACCATGAGCAAAGTTAAACAAAGCCAACAATAATTCATTTTGAGGGAGGTAGGGTAAAATAAACGAGCGTTAAATGGATTTACGTCACGTTTCGGGTGAGGCTTCAATTATATTACGTTGAATATCGCAGAAATGCAGAAATGGCATTCGAGTCAATAGGAATTAATGGATCATTTTTTGAACACAGAACTGCTTTTATCGCGCTACGCAGACAGCAGGGCTCTAAGGACAGTATGAGGATGTATGAAAAAATCGGGAAAAATCAGTAATGATAGCGTCGTTTTTTATGGCTACCAGATCAACACGCTACGCTTCTGCTTCTTATCTCAACTGACTCGTACTCCATACAGGGTGTTTCAGTTTATTGTTGCATAACTTTAAGAATCGATAGAACTTTTAAAATTGATGCATAAAGTCTATATAAACATGGGTCGAAAAATGTGTGGCTTCCGAAATACAGGGTGTTTAAATTTACTTTCTAAAATAGTTTTTTTTAAATATTTCGAACAATATTTGATGTATAACAGTGAAAATTGGTATACAAGGGTTTTTTGGTACGACAAAACAAACCATGGGCATAGTTTTACTGTAGCCGCTAGAGGGCGCTCTCTACTGTACCTGTAGTGTATTAAAATGACCGAAATTTTTTTCTTGGTGCAATTTTTTGCTTTTTGAATAAAAAACTGATTCTTCGCACTTTTCAACATAAAAAAGCTCTCTTGTGAATTTTCGTTGTAGTTAGCCGTTTTTGAGATATTTCGATTTTTAAGGTTCGATGCATTTTTAATTATTTATGATAAAATAACGTTAAAAAGTCAGTATCTCGATAATTTTTAGAAGTAGGCTGTGCCTGCAAATATTTTTGAAATTGAAAGCAGAATAAGGTTAAACGTCAATTAGTTGACAGATAGTTTTGTTGTCTGTTGAAACCTGAAACGTTTTTTTTGCAATTGTGAATGCACAAAATTTAGTTTCTTTTACCTTTTTTTTTGTAAGTTTTATAAAAATGCCCCTTTTATTCTCCAATCAAGAGTTAGCGCATATTCATTCTGTGTATGGCTTTGTAAATGGAAACGCAGCAGTAGCAGCCAGAGAATACGCACGAAGATTTCCAAACAGACGACATCCAACTCGCTCAGTATTTGCATCGCCAAATAATTGAAAATGGTTTTGGAAATCTCCAAAGTGATCAAAACATAAATGTTCGTCAGCGCAGATTTACCCGTATGATTCTGCGTGAGTTTGTTAGAGATCCGACTACAAGTGTTAGGAGAGTTTCTGGTGCCTTGGGAATTTCAGCAAGCTATGTTCACCATGTTCTTAGAAATGACCATAGACGTCCTTACCATTGGCAACCTTTGCAAGAACTGCAGCCAGGGGACGGAGAACGAAGAATCACATTTTGTCAGTAGATTCTTGATAGAACTGATAATAATAGGGAGTTTTTAAGTAACGTTTTATGGACCGATGAGTCATGCTTCACTAGACGTGGAGTGGTAAATTTTCATAATCAACATATTTGGTCGCATAAAAATCCGCATGCAGTTCGGGAAAGTAATTTTCAGCATAAATTTAGTGTGAACGTGTGGATTGGTATCTACCGTAATCGACTATTTGGACCCTACCTTTTGCCTGCAAGGTTAAATGCTGCGACCTTCTTGGAATTTTTAAAGGCTGAACATGCAAATACGTGAGATGATGTTATGTTAGATTTAAGAAGATTGGCCTGGCTCCAGCTTGATGGTTGTCGAACTCATTATTCGAGAATAGTTAGAAACTGGCTGGACGAAAATTATCCAGAAAGATGGATCGGCCGTGGAGGACCAGTCGCATGGCCTCCACGATCCCCAGACCTAAATCCATTAGATTTCTTTGTGTTGCGATTTCTAAAAGAAAAAGTGTACCAGACTCCCATAACCACAAGAGATATGCTAATAGGCAGAATCAGGAATGCATGTGATGAAGTAAGGCCTTATTTTAATAATGCTATACCACGTTCGATCATTCGTCGATGTGAATTGTGTATTGAACAATTGGGTTTACATTTCGAGCAACTACTTTAGATTTTGTATGTTTGTCCTAACTATCCAATAGCATTTTAGTTGTAAATAATTAATTTAATTTGTTAAAAATAATATTGGAAAATTAAAGAAATTAATATTCTGTTTTTTTGTGTTTATTTGGAGTTAGGAATTATTGCTGTGTTTAAAAACACAATCTAAACGATCATCTTAATTACTTGTAATGCCCAAATCGAAAATGTAAAAAAAATATTATTTACACATAAATAATTAAAAATGTATCGAACCTTAAAAATCGAAATATCTCAAAAACGGCTAACTATAACGAAAACTCACAAGAGAGCTTTTTTATGTTGAAAAGTGCGAAGAATCAGTTTTTTTATTCAAAAAGTAAAAAATTGCACTAAGAAAAAATTTTCGGTCATTTTAATACACTACAGGTACAGTAGAGAGCGCCCTCTAGCGGCTACAGTAAAACTATGCCCATGGTTCATTTTGTCGTACCAAAAAACCCTTGTACACCAATTTTCACTGTTATACATCAAATATTGTTCGAAATATTTAAAAAAAACTATTTTAGAAAATAAATTTACACACCCTGTATTTCGGAAGCCACGCATTTTTCGACCCATGTTGATATAGACTTTATGCATTAATTTTAAAAGTTCTATCAAATCTTAAAGTTATGCAGCAATAAACTGAAATATTTGAAACTGCTACGTATGACTTGCACCCATGGTTAAAGTTCAACAAACCTAACTGATGGAGGTGGAGTAAGGCAAGCGATCGTTAAATGGAATACGTCACGGTTCGGATGAGACTTTAATTATGTTGTCTACAATACCCCGGAAATGCAATAACCGAGTAATCAAAAGGATCAAAAGGAGTTGATGGATCCTTTTATCTCTGTTCAAACTGATTAACTTAAAGAAGAGTGCATAAAATAATTCGCAAACAAACAAAAAATCGAACTGAAAGAAGGCGAGTTCCTTACTGTTTACGCATGATCATTCTGAGCACCGCATCAGGACCTCTGTGTATCAGCAGTCCGAGTGATTCCCTGATGTGATCTTCGGCAGTGGTGGCATCTTCCAGTGAAGGCAGTGCAGTCGGCTGTTGCGAATCTTCGTCTTGCCAGAAACGGTACAGGAAGCATTTGTCTTTGAACGGTTGCTCTTTGTGAACTGGAAGAAACACAACATCCTATTATATTCCGCCTCGTCTCGTAATTAAGAATACTGTAGTAACTTCCACTTCACTTCCAACCAGACGCATCTTGAAGATATCGATTTTTCGATTCCCTGCACTCCGTTGATCCCCGACCCCGGCAAACTAGGTCATTAAATCAGAGGGAAACTTTGACTCTACAATAGACAGTCCCTCTGAATTATCTGAGGATTTCCTTTGGTGGCTTAAAAATATTAATAATTCTTATAATCATTTACCCTCAAGAGACTTTAAATTGAACATTTTTTCTCATGCATTCACAATTATCTGGTCCACCTTTTATTTTTATGCATTTCCGCCATTTGCAATCATATTACAGTGTTTGCACAAGATCATCGAGGATAAAGCAACAGGCATCTTTGTTGTTCCCAATTGGACCTCTCAGCCATGGTTTCCCGTTTTTAACTCATTGCTTGTTAGTAAATTAATTTATTTTACCCCAAGTCAAGATTTACTTCTCTCTTTTGATAGGACTCCTCATCCACTATGGAAGAAAATTACATTGGTAGCAGGAGTCTTATCCGGCAAGCATTGCAGTTAGGCGGCGTACCATTTGTATGGCTTCCATTACCAATGGAACGATTAAACAATATAATTCCGGATTGAAACTTTGGTGGGAATTTTGTAAAGAAGAAAATAAGAATGTATTTTCAGTATCTATACCAGATGTTTTAAAATTCCTAACATTGTATTTTAATGAAGGTGCTTCTTATGGCACCTTAAATTCGTATAAATGTGCAATAGGTCAGATAGCAGGGTCAGGTTTCGCAAATGATTTTAGGCTTAAAAGCTTTTTCAAAGGGATTTTGTAATTTGCGACCCAATGAGGCCAAGTACAATACAACCTGGTACCCCTGTATTGTCCTTAACTACATAAAAACTTTTCCCAAGGAGATTTCCTTACAAAAATTAACTTATAAATTAGCAGCGCCTTTGGCTCTCAGTATAGGACAACAATCTCCAATACAGTGATAGCTGAGGATGGCATCACCATCAAGATTCCTAAGCGACTTAAGACTTCTGGTTTAAATAGATTGCAGCCAACTCTAGTTCTGCCCTTTTATAAGGCAGATCCTTCATTATCTGTAGCCAAGTGCTTAATTCAATATTTAAAAGAAACGATGAAATTAAGAGACACCCACTGCAACTTATTATTTATTGTCTTTAAGAAGCCTTTTAAAAATGCAAAATCTAGCTCAATCAGTAGATGGATGAAAGTAGTTCTTAAAAATAGCGGCCTTCTGACGCGGATGCGTCGACTGTCTGTTCTTCAATAACCGAAATTATCCACGTCGGAATGGAGGAATACATCCCTCACACAGTGAAAGTTCCTAAACCAGGGTCCAACGGCTGGTTCAACAAATCGTGTGACACTGCTCGCCAGCAGAAGATCAAGGCCCACAGAACCTACTTACAAAACCCCACTGTAGAGAACAGACAACCCGACGTCGAGTCCAGAAACAAATATAACGAAGCGGTTCGCAATGCCAAAACCCAGCATGATATAAAAGTTAGGCACAGGGTAATGTCGCAGAGCAATGGCAGTCGGTCTTTCTGGACGCTGGCCAAGCAGATTGAAAAGAACTTCTCACACAGTAGCCTTCCACCACTTACGTGTCAGGATGGAACTATTGTATTCGACTCAAAGGCCAAGGCGGAAGTGCTAGCCAAGATCTTTGCTGCCAACTCCACCATGGACGTCCCCACCAACGCCCAAGTGCCGTCAATTCAAAGGGTTCCCCACACTATGCGGGAGGTAACATTCAGGCATAAGACCGTAAGACGAGTGCTCTTGTCGCTCGACATCAACAAAGCTTCTGGTCCGGACTTGATTCCTGCCATTGTATTGAAGAGATGTGCAGCTGAGCTTGCTCCAGTTCTTTCGCGTCTCTTCCAGATATCTTATGAATCCGGCACCTTCCCAGAAAACTGGAAATTTGCTCACGTACAGCCCATCCCAAAAAAGGATCTAAAACCGACCCTTACAACTACAGGCCTATAGCTCTGCTTTCTGTTATAAGTAAAGTGAAGGAGAGGTGCATAAATCGCGAGCTTCTGGACTACCTCGAACGTCACAGCTTGATTAGCGACAGGCAGTATGGTTTCCGGCACCAACGATCCACAGGGGACCTCCTAGCTTACGTCACGCAACTGTGGAGTAAACTCATCCAGTCTCATGGTGAGGCTCATGTCGTTGCTCTTGACATCACGAAAGCGTTCGATCAGCTGTGGCACGCTGCCCTCTTGAGCAAACTTCCATCCTACGGCCTCCCAGAAAAGCTTTGCAGATGGGTGGCTGACTTTATCTCTGGCCGCCAGATATCCGTCGTAATTGACGGATTCTCCTCTTCATCCCACAACGTCAACGCGGGTGTTCCCAGGGATCGGTCTTGGCTCCAACACTGTTTCTCTTACATATCAACGACCTCCTTTCCTGCACGATCAACCCAATCCACAGCTTCGCTGATGACAGCACTCTACATGCAGGAATTCAGAGTGACAAGCCGATCTCTGCCGCTGAGCTGGAAAAAAGAACACTAGCGACGACTTCTTCTCTGACAAGAGACCTGGAGGCTATCACTGCTTGGGGACGCAACAATCTTGTACAGTTCAATGCTTCCAAAACACAGTACTGTACTTTGACGAACAAAAAGCGTCCTAGCGCTCATACAGTTTCGATGGACGGTCGAGTTCTACCAAAGAGCCATTCATTTCGGCTGGTCGGAGTCCAGATCACCGAGGACCTGATCTGGCACGAACACATCTCTTCAATAGCTGCAGCTGCTGGGAAAAAGCTAGGCTATTTGTTTAGGGCTAAGAAGTACTTTTCTCCGCATGACCTTCTCACTCTACAGGGTTATCCAAATTAAGTGTCCACCATTAGTAACTTTGTTATTAGTGAAAATACAAAGTTGTTTGAATTAGTAAAACTAGTAGCATTTTTAACGCTGGTAAAAATGAGAAATAAAAAAAAACCATTGAGAGTCGTTATTTTGATTTTTTTCAGTAAAATAACATTTTTTAAAATGGAAACCCCTGTATATTATATTTTTTTCTGTTAAAGCATCAAATTTTAAACAAAAAAGCTTACAATAACTTTTCTCCTAGGTTACAAATTGTTGAAGTTATGGCCTCCAATCTGAAACAATTAAATTGTATCGACAAACTTTATTTTCAACATCAACTTATAATCTTACAAAATACAATAACAATTTTTTTTAAAGAAGATGCTCGAAAACACCACCTTGTTCTTCAATACATTTTTGGGCACGTTTTTCAACTGCTCGAACTGTCTTAAGTATGGTCCTACCATCTATCTGGGTTATCTTTTCCCTAACTGCAGTCTTTAACGCGTCAAGGTTATCGTACCTTCGCTTGTAAATTTGGTTCTTTAAGTAACCCCACAAGAAGTAATCAAGTGGGTTTAGATCTGGTGATCTGGGAGGCCACTGTATTGGGCCATTTGTTCCTATCCACTGATCATTAAAAGTAGTACTTAGAAAATGATAAGTACCTCTGGAGTTGTGGGCAGGTGCGCCATCTTGCTGAAAATGCAGATGATGTCTACTTATAAGATCCAATTCGTCTAAGAAATTAGTCAGAATTTCTGACATAAATTCCACATATCTTTCACCAGTTAGGGTTCCCTCATAAAAGAACGGGCCAACAATTTTTGAACCAATTATACCGCACCAAACGTTGAAACTGAAACGGACTTGTGGGCCTCTTGGATGTACTAAAAAAGATTTTCTCTTGACCAATAATGGTGGTTTTTTCTATTAAACATTCCAGAATTTGAAAAATTTGATTCATCTGTCCATAAAAGGTAACGAAAGTTATTTACATTTTGGCGACAGAAGCTAAGATACCAATGGCAAAAAACAAGTCTTCTCTCTGGATCCCCTGCCAAAAGCGTTTGAACTGGTCGGTACTTATACGGAATAAATTTGTATTTTTTTAAAATCCTTTGAACAGTACCATAACTGAAATTAGAGTCCTTGAGAATATCTGCTATTGAATTCTCACGATAAGCTTCAAAATATCCAATAACTGCAATTTCCGTGGCCTCGCTTATTATGAATTCTTTTTTTGCCCTTGTTTTAGCAAAAACATTTTCGTTGCCCCTAAATTTTCGATAAAGTCTCAGAAAATATCGTTCATACGGTTGAATGCGAGCGGGATATAATTCACTGTAGTATTCTCTTGCTCTCAAGGAGGATTTTCTGCACACTAAATAGCATTCTAACATATCACACTTTTCTTCATGGGAGAACATTTTTCTTTAAATTAATGACACAATAAAGCTTATAAACAAGTATTTACACTAATGTTTGACATTATTTGATTTTATCATTGTTTTCCAAAGCCTTCTAGTTGCGAGTATGTCCAGTTTAACAATTTGTCGCTTATCTTAATGCTGTCAAATCGCGAACGCCATGTTGTTTTCATAGCCGTCTTAATATTATAATACTGCAAATAATTAAAAATATTTATCGTTATTTTGACTTTATTTTTGACTTTAGCGGAAAGGTCATTATGAATTTTTTTGTTTAAAATTTGATGCTTTAACAGAAAAAAATATAATATACAGGGGTTTCCATTTAAAAAAATGTTATTTTACTGAAAAAAATCAAAATAACGACTCTCAATTGTTATTTTTTATTTCTCATTTTTACCAGCGTTAAAAATGCTACTAGTTTGCTAATTTAAACAACTTTGTATTTTTACTAATAACAAAGTTACCAATGGTGGACACTTAATTTGGATAACCCTGTATACAAGGCCCAGATAAGGCCCAGCCTCGAGTATTGCTCACACATTTGGGGTGCTGCCGCCCCGACTACATTGTCCATGCTCGATGCTGTCCAGAGGAGGGCGGTCCGACTGATCGATGACTCTTCTCTAACAGACAGTCTCGGGACTCTTTCGCACCGGCGGGCCGTCGGCGATCTAGCTC